TATATATATATATATATTTGGTCTCATTCCAAGTTTTTATTTCTGTTATTTAAGAGTAATGTGGAATAGTATACATTTGGTGCTAGCTAGTGATAGTTCCCATAGGCCTGCCATTGATAAGTAGTAGTCTTAGCCAGGCAGCCAAATGTCTCCTTCATAAGATGTGGACAATTAACAGTGAATTAGCAAAGAAAGATGGGGTCATCATTTAGCCATCTTCTGTTAAGTATCTCTTGCTCTCTATGGAGTTTTCATCTTGCATTGAGAACCCTAACATCAGGGGGACAAAGATCCTGAAAATAGACACACTTATTATCTGACTGGGTAGTATCTGATTTTTTACAGCTTTGAGGAAAATCGGGCATACATGTATTAACCATCTCTGCATTATTCTCTTATTAGTAAAGTTGGTAAGTATGAATCATTATTTTTTTCTGATAAATCTAAATAAATGGGAAACATCGAATTTCCCAATGTTGCAAACACTTCACCATGCCAACAATGTGTAATGCAAACTCTAATCACCATTCATTGACAGTTTACTCTCAGGCATTGTCAAGGTATAAAAAGAAAATAAAAGATGATGGACATCCCCCCCCCCCCCCCCCCCCGCCCCAATCACTGGCTTCATCAAAACCCCAAAAAAAGTCGCAGGCTGCAGGAAATCTGTCATTCATTGTTAGTATCAAATACTGATTATACATGCACTTTTTCATGGTTACTCAATGTAATGCAAACATCAATTGATGCTCACTGACAAACTAAAACCTTCTCCCAGCAGAACACAACATGGCATTAACTGTGTCTGCTTTATCTGCCATCAATCTCTTTTCAAGAGACAGTATCAATTAATTTTGCAGACTCAAGGAAATGGATAATAATGACCCTCAATTAAACGTGGAGACAAAGAAGAGCAGGGGAATTCTTGTTTCTCTTTAGTTGGATGCAAATTCAGAACATCTTTTTGATGGGTTATCGGTTGAATTGCTTGAAAGAAAGTTGGCAATTAATTTGATGTGTGCATTATTCTGAAAGAGTTAGGTTCGTTGTGAGGAAATTGAAGTTGTAAGACTACCCACTAAATTTTGGCCTATTTAAGATCATATTGATTCTGATATGGCTTCTTACATTCTCTTACAAGTTTTCGCTCAAAACAGCTCCAGAAAGTTGATGCTTTCATTTCACCACAATATATCCTAATGTGTTTGCCAAGAAGTGAAAGAAAATTGTAACCCCCCCTGGAAAAACATTGATTTTTGGGGGGAGGAATTAAAACTTATTTTGTATTTGCATGAATTGTAGTAACATTGGACATTTCAATATACTATGAAATACAACAGTATTGTTCCTTAATGGAACTTCTGTTTAAATTTTTGTAAGTAAATTTTGGAAATGTGCCATAATTGATATCAGAATGTATAAGAGAAAACATTTTATAGAAATAAACAAAAACACAATTGTATGCTGATTACTAAAACAAATCAATATGATCATTATAGGTTTATCTTCCAATATTTTACGTAAAAGCACTAGGTCTTGAATGCATATCTGTTAATCAAATTATGTTACTCTGTTTGAATTTTTTTTTAGAAAACAATGATAGTGATATAGACATGATACAAATATAATGATACATGTACTTAAGCCCTAATCATACAGTAAGCAAAAGGCTCAGTGTAAATGCCATTATGCTCAAAATATAGGTGGGCTCAGCTAATGGAAAAAGTTGAAATGATCTGAGCTATGGACTGAGCTACTAGCAAACGGCTCACAGTGTGGGCATATTGCTCACAGTGTTTGCTCTGGGCTCATATACTGGCATAACGCTCACAATGTCAGCTATGGGCCCAGATACTGGCATAATGCTCACAATGTCAGCTATGGGCCCAGATACTGGCATAATGCTCATGATGTGCTGACACTTCAAGTCAATAGCTCAGCCTACATTGTATAAACCAGTGTGGGAGCCCATAGCTGCTGGCCTCACAAAGAAAAAGAGCTCATCCTGCGTGCAGTGGGCTATTGTTCGGGTGACCTGTGGAAGAGGTTATTGATTTGTGAAATGTAAGGAAATGATCTGCGACTGTAAAGTTACTGTCTGTCTCTGTCAGTCTTCCCGGGGGAATGTAGACTAAACCCCCGATAAAGCTTTGATATCAGCAATTAATTGACTTATCATGAGCAATGCCAAAGTTAGAGAAGTATTTTTATTTGTAATGGAAAAGATCGATCGCAAGGTTCCAGAGAATCAACAGTATATTGCATCCTTTTACAGTTGTTG